TCATCACTGAGAAGTCTACTTGCCATGGACAGAGAGCTATCCCAGTAACAGGAACCCCCACCCAGCACATCCACACTAAATCCCCCATGATCACTGAGAGCAAAACCAGCCTTTATATTATTAAATTCAAAGGCAAGACACTTGATGTCAACTCTAGAGGCAAGGGCACCTGGGGGTGATCTCCTAATGGTTTTCACCCAAGGTTGGCCAGGCTCTGAGAGAAGCCCAGGAGGAAAGTCTTTCTTGCCTGGTTGTGGGCATCATCCATATGTCAACCTTGACTCAGGGCCTGGGGTTTAGACCCCAGCACTTCAGACGTGTATCTGGGCATTTCAAGCATAACAATGAAATAGCTGCAAGAATTTATAGATTCATAGAATGGTTTGGGTGGGAAGTGACCTTTCAAGGTCACCCAGTCCAACCCCCTGCAGGGAGCAGGGACATCTGCAACCAGAGCAGGGTGCTCAGAGCCCTGGCCAACCTCACCTGGGATGGTTCCAGGGATGGGGCAGCAACCACCTCTCTGGGCAACCTGGGCCAGGGGCTCACCAACCTCAGCAGACAAAATTTCTTCCTTCTCTCCAGTCTAAATCCTCTTCTAGTCTAAAACAGGACCTGTCTCAACAGGCCCTGCTCAAAAGTTCCTCCCCAACTTCCTGGCAGCCCCCAGCAGGTCTCCCCAGCTGGAGCCTTCTCCTCTCAGGCTGCCCCAGCCCAACTCTCTCCTGCTGGGCTCCCAGCAGAGGGGTTCCCCCCTCGGGGCATTGCTGGGGCTCCTCTGGCCCCGCTCCAGCAGGTCCCTGGCTCTGCTGTGCTGAGGACTCCAGAGCTGCCCCAGCACTGCAGGGGGGTCTCCCCAGAGCTGGCAGAGGGGCAGGATCCCCTCCCTGCCCTGCTGCCCACGCTGCTGGGGGGGCAGCCCAGGATACAGAACCAAAATATTGTTTCCTTAAAGAAAACCCAACTTTTGTGAGCCATCCAGCCTGAGGCAGCCACCAGCACAGCAACCTTCAGCCCAAGTGGTCAAAGCTTGCTGGAGCTCCAAGCTGCTGAAGACAGGGTGTTATGGCAAGAGCTGTTGGGCAGCCTTAATGAATGGGTAATCTTTATCCTCAAGAGCTCTCCAGGTCTGCAGAACATTGCTAAACAACCCCCTGTAGCACCAGAACCAGAGATTCCTTCATCAATCTCTTGCCCACTGGCAATGTAGGACATACCAAGCTCAACCTCCCCTCCAGAAAGCCTCAAGCTGCTGTGAAGAAGGTGGCCCTGGGCTGACAGGAAGGACCCAGGGAGGGCTCAGGTCTGCACCTCGAGGAGTCCCCCCTCAGCCTCCCCAAGAAGTGGGACTCTCCTTGCTCCTCCCAGCCTCTACTCCAGCACTCCAATCCCTCCTCCACCTACATGGAGGCTCCTCAATACTCACTGCCATTCATGATATTTTCTGCTTCTATTTTGTTGGGGTTTTTTCTTATTTGCTTCCAGCCTTGGCAGGGTTTTCCCACCACCCTGCCTGGCATGTACTTTTTGGGGCTCTTTGGGCACGATAAGCACTGAATAAAATCTCTGGCTGGCGAAGCTGCGAGCAGCATGAACTCAACTTAGCTTTCCCATGATACCCAATTCTGTTTGTATGCTTTTATATTTCTTTGTAAGACAGCAGCAGGTTAAATCTGCCTCCATTGGCCCACCTAATATAAATTAACCCCCCTTTTTCCACATCTGATTTACTCTGCTGTCATCTTCTCAAATCTGGCTCAAACTACGTGGGCAGTAAAACCAGGTTGGGCAAACTCCAGGGCTGGGATAAATCTTTTTGGACTGAAACCCTTTTTCTTAGCACAGCAACACTTCCCTTCAGCCCCTGCAATGGGAGCACTGCAGCACATCACTACCACACAAAAACCTGGAGAGAAAACCCACTAAAAAGGGGCTACAACCCCCACCCCAAAGCCCCCTCTCTGCTACCACCAGATTCCTGCCACTGGGTTCTTTATTTGGCTTTTTCCTCTGTGTTTGTGTCTGAGGAATGACCCATTTCTTTTCTGCATTCCCCTTCCCAGTGAGCTGTAAACTTCCTTTTCAACCACTTCATCATGATTTTCTTCTCCACATTTTCCCTCCCCCAGTGCTTTCACTTCATCTGTCCTGATGCACTGGGGACCAGAATGTGGCTGCTGCTCTTTCCCCAGAGCAGCTTCAGCTCCATGTGCTGGAGAATATATTTAGTAAATCTGACAGGTTTAACCTTAAAAAAACAACTGAGGAAAGCACAAAAGTCGAAGTGCTACTTTCAGCATCCTCCACCCAATCATACAGCCCAAAGAATCACATCGTGGTATAAGCTACAACTGAGCAAGGCACACGGAAGGACACGAGACAGAATTTACGACCAATTTTCAGGCACGTGACTTCTTTTGGCACGGTGATAAATCACAGCAAGCCACTCAGATTGCCCCAGTCTGAGTCTGGCAACGAGATGCCATTCAGCTCTGGCCAAGAGAACAAAACCAGGGAGCCACATGAAAGCAGACCCACAGTTTTTTCTTCCTACACAACGAAATTTTACTGAAAAACACTAGGAAGCTGCAGCAAATTGTTTCCTTTCTCCCCAGGACAGATGTTTATAGAGGTTCTACCCTGATATCCAGGACTCGTGGATCAGCTCTTCCATTAAATCCATGCCCTTGCTGCTGGCAGCAGCAAAGCTGAGGATAATGCCCATTTTCCTAAATCATGGCAGGGTTCATGAAGCTTCCAGGCTGCCTGCAGCCCCACAAGCAAAATCTCATTCTGGTCTGGCTGTAGCTGGACCCCAGTCAGTTAAACAAGAATAAAATCCCAGCACCCAGATCCAGGAGGATCTTTCCTGCCAAGACAACTCTCCTCTGCATACTCTGAATTTCTTGTTTCTTGGGGTTTAGTTCCATCATTCCTTTTCAATCAGCTGATGGGAAGGATTTTGAGGTGAAATGGGGCTAATGCTACATCTCAGATGTTGCGTGTGCTGACCCCCACACAGGGTGGGTGGCTGGACACCCCTATCAGATGCTGCAGAGGAACAAGGGGTTCCTGACCCACCACAGACCTTGGGAGGAGATGATTCCTGTAACAGAGATGCTTTCTGCCCTCCAATGATTCCAAAAGGTACCTGGAGAACCAGCCTGGAGGGATGAGGAACATTCAGCTGGTGTGACTCCAGCGACCACAGGACCACAGCTTGGGCACATGTGCTGCAGGCATCAGAGAGATGAGTCTTCAAGCCATGGCAACCCATTTCCAACAGAAGAAAAACCAAGCCTAGCATCCTAAACACCCAGTTTAACATTCAGACCCAAGAAACTCAAGATAAAAGACATAAAATAAGCCTCAACCCAGGGAAGTCATTACATAGCAGCCCATGGCAGGGGCTGCACATCCTCCTGTGATCCTGTGCACTAATGTCACAAAGGCTTTTGTTTTTTGACAGAAGTGACAGTTTTCCACACCCCTCTGTACCTGGGTAACTTGAAGTCGCTTGACCTCTGTGGGCTGCCCACCAAGGTATCTGAGTGCACCAAAAGAGGACATTCAAACCCTTCTGGCAAACTCCAAAGAGAAGAAGTTTGCTGCCTGCTGAGTCCCTCAGGTCCCTCTCAGAAGCAGACTGCCAGCAGAGGAGGTGTTTCCACTGTGCACACGAAAACCTTCACCCTCCAACCACTGCAACAAGCTAGATTTTGTCACCAGCTTCCCTGGAAGCCAAACCAGATGCCTTGAACCCACTTTGAAGGATAGGTAGCATAGAATCATAGAATGTCTGGGCTGGAATGGACCTCCAAAGGCCATCAAGCCCAACCTCCTCGCCACAATCAGGGACATCTCCAACTAGATCAAACTGCTCAGAGCCTCATCCAGCCTGATCTTGAACGTCCCCAGGGATGGAGCCTCCACCACCTCTCTGGGCAACCTATTCCAGTGATCTGTCACCCTCATCCTGAAGAACTGGTATCTTGGGTAACTTGATATTTGA